TGAGCCAAAAGATGCATTTGAATTGGCCGCATCCTCAGGCGACACCATGGGACTAGATCGACCAGACTGGCCATTAGGCCCAGCAGTCGTAGCCAGGCCACCGCTGGTGCTGATCGAGCCGTCAGGAACAGTGTGGCGCACTCCTGGACATTGTGTACTCGTTCGCTCGAAGGGTAAGCGATCCCTGTTACCAGGTCGATTTCTGCCCCTAGAAAAGACGGTGTCTGGGTGGGGACCAGATGAGACTTTTCCAAGTTTATCAGAAACCGTAACCTTGTCGTCAAGTCGACGGTTACCTCCAAGGACTGTCGAACTTCCTCTTTGGACCTGCCTACGATTAACCAATCGTCCAGGTAGAGGAATATCATTTTATCCGCTCTTCGAAGTATTGTTGCCAGGGTCTTTGTTACTCTGGTGAAGACCCTTGGTGATGTTGACGGACCGAACGGAAGAGTGAGGAACTCGAAAATTGTATTTTTGTATTGAAAACGAAGGTATTTTCTGTGTTCCTTGCAAATGGGTACGTGAAGATAAGCATCCTGCAGATCTATTGATGCGGCCCAAGATGGTGTTGTTTCTACTGGGCTTCGTACCGGTTGAATTGCTTGCTTTGATAGCAGGGTTTCTATTTCTTTCTCCAATGCCCTCCGCTGTTCTCTGTCTGATGGAACAGGGGTGGGACGTGAGAACATTACCGATGGAGGAGTACTCGTAAACTCGAGGCTGTACCCCTGTGTGACTGTCTGAAGCACCCACCCATCGGTGCAAAAGTGGGCCCAAGTCTCCCCGAATTGCCTTAAGCGGCCCCCCACGGGCCCAATCTGGGGGGCCACGGATGGAGAACCAGCGTCACCGACGCCACCCCCGACCCGCTCGAGAAGAATTCTGGCGGGAGGGAAACCGCGTGCCACGACCTCTTGAGGTTGGCCAGCCAAAACTCCGTCCGGAAGTTGTCTGCGACGTTGTTGCGGCTGTTGCTGGTGTTGATCGAGCCACAGTGGTTGATTGGGTAGACTTGGGTGTCCGAAAGGAGGGCAAAGGTTTTCTAAACCCTTTGGACCTATTCGAAGTAGTCGGGACCTTAGCTGTCGGTTGTGACTGCTTCCGAGGGGCCTGTAAATTAATACGGTCTGTTGCTTCTAGACGTTTGGCCTCGGTCTCCATCATCGTCTGGAACTGATCCGCAAACAAATCCTTGCTCCATAAAGGAAGGGCCTCCATGCGTTTTCTTGCCCCTTCTGAAGGGAAGAATATCGTTTCTAGAACATTGGAACGTCTGGAGACCGTGGCAAGTACAGAGACCCTAGCAAATTGGTCTAGGATGATGCGTAATCCATCCTCCAGACATTGAAAGGCATTGACAGCCATTGTCGGAGAAACACTGGAACCGGAATCACATGCAGTATCCAAGTATTCTGACAAAAGAAGCATAAATGAAGTCGTTTGCAGACCCATGCGTGATGCTGCATCAACCTTATGTAATGCCTCTTCAAGCTTACTCCGGACAGGATCGGCAAAGGGAACTTTAAGTGATTGTTTCCCTGTATCTGCCGCCATCTTGTCCTTTGCATTGTCTGGGATAACTGGAACTGTTAAAAATTCTTCGGTATCCTGCTTTGGAACCCGAAAGGGATGACATGCTGCCTTGGCAAAGGGTTGCCATTTTTCTGAACAGCTATTGTTTTAAGACGGTTAGAAAAAACCCTGTCCACTGGGAATTCCGGAAAGGTTGACTTCGGGGAATCCCGCTCTGGTACACCTGTGCGTTTCTTAAAACTAGGCCGTGTACTTTGTGAAGATTCTGACTGCTCGGGAATGGGAACCTTTAATATACGAACCATATCCCACATCACTTCACGGAATCTATTATCGGTAGTCTCATAAGGATGACTCCCGGTAGAATCCACGTTGGATGGCCGATCCATCGAAGATGGACCCGGCCGGGAGTCGAGGTCACCCTTAGGTGTTGCCTCGTGTGTATCTACAGCTGTAGAATGAGTAGGTGAGGGTCTCTTGGCGTCTCTGCGCGTAGCGCGGTTGACGTCCGAGTCCGACTCTTGCAATGAATCAGACGGGTGAATAGAAATAGCGCCGCCTGATTCCCGGTCAAATTCCCGATCTTTGGCCTCAGCTTGAGGGGAAATTGGGAGTTGTTGTGGCGCCAACGCCGCCAACTGAGCCGACAAAGCCTGAAAACCTTTCAGTAATAAATCCGATGTATTGTCTCTCCGCCCGCGTTTGCGATGACGTGGGTGGTCCGATGACTGGCCAGAAGTCGGCGACGTACTGGCACTGTCGCTCGTTAAAGAGCTAGAATAACGGCAGCGGCGGGATTTATGGGCCTGGCGCCGTTTATTCTTGGGCCGTGATCGATGTTCCGATCCACGGTGACGAGCCATTAAATCAGAAATTCCCGAAGGAACGTCCGAAAGAACCCCGGGTGCCACCGGCACGCTCCGGGTTTGACCGGGCGCCACTGGTGCACGATTATCAGGACCGGGTGCCGGGTTAAACGCGGCGGCCGTCAGTCCGATTGGGCCCGGTTCCGCTCGGTTCCCCAGACCAACGGTCGGGGCTGAACGTAAACGCGATGGGCCGATCGGTTTTTGTTTCTTCGGATTTGGGCCCTCAACCGGTGGTTGAGGACAATCCGGGGAATCCCCTTCGGAGCAATCTGCTCCCGGGGAAATCCCGGTGTCGGTCGCCGGGATTGCCGATGTAGACCGATGTTTTTCTCGGTTTGCCGACTCATCGGCCCGGGAGCTCGCAGACTTCCGTCTGGCCCCGGTTTGTACCGAGTCAGGGCCGGTGGTTTTCGGCGCATCGCGCCCACCACCGGTCCTTTTCCTTCCCTTATGGGGACTGGCCTGCGACACTTCCGTGCCCAGTCCGCGAAAGCCCCGTCGCGCGTCCGGTAGGATCGGTAAAACCAATACCAGGAACGGACCGCGGTGGCTCCGTACTTACCCGCTTCGATGACTTCTTTTTCTTTCCAGAAGTGGTCGAAGCTTCACTTCTTGCCGAGTCTGTAGATTTCGCTAGCCAGGTGTCAATCTTCGTCCACATTTCGGAGCCCCATGGCTCGCAAATGGAACACCTAAGAGCTCTAGAACATGGCCTACACTTAGGACATAATTCGTGGGAGTCGTCTAGGCTATTCAGCAAAATCTTGTGACATTTATTACAAGTCACGAAATTTTTGGGAGGCATTTTGTCAAAGACCCCAAAAACCAGAACAGTCTCAGAACTATAGTAGAAGTTTCTTCAAACTGTAAGGATAACAAAATACAAACATATACGTATCCTTTAATGTTCAATGTATACACGCAAAAACACGAGGTCATAAAACGAAATAAAAACGTTTATAAAACTCGTCTAAAAAACAAGCAAATGTAACCAGAAACACACCTAGTGCTTCCGAGAAACAAATGTATTGCAAATTTAATAACAAATAGCGATTAAAACCAGTAAAAACGTGCATGCTACTGCGAGCATTGAAAACACGTCCTACCGTCACGAGCGCTAAAGAAAAAGAGGACGATAATGGCGGGGGCTCTGACTATTGTGGGCGCTGGCGCAGGAGGGCGCTGTGGCACGCTATAGCAAATCTTTACTTTAGCGGTTAATTTACATAGTTAAGGAAATATGCATTTATAGGTCCAACAGGTAAGTAGGACACGAAGTGGCAACTCATTATGAAAATTTTCAGTAATCATGAAAATGCGTTTCTATTCTGAGTTAAAAAAAAAACAGCAGTATACATGTAATTGAACACAGGCGGGTTAATTGGGTTATTTCACACTTAACAAAATACAGAAGTCTAAAAAAAGATATTTGAAACACCTGAACTTTAAATGCAAAGTTAGGCCAATACCAGTTTTGTCCGAATTGCCTTTATAACTGTTTTTGCAAATGAACTCCTCATTTCCAGAGAAAATAAGAGAAAAGCTGTGGGGAAAATGGAAATTTACAGCACCTGAAATGTACATATTTCCAATACTATATCAAAGGTGACTCTGAATCTCTGAATTCCCTAAAATGTACGTTTTTCCAATACAATGTTAGAGGTGACTCGTGACTCGGACTTGGACTCGACCTTTGTGACTCGTGACTCGGACTCGACCGGGAGGACTCGGGACTCGGACTTGGACTCGAGAAATGTGACTCGGACTCGGACTTGGACTCGATGTTTCGTGACTCGAATACAAGTCTGGGTGTAACGTGATTTAGGTTTAATGAAATACAAACTTGGTGGTGGTATTGAGCATGCTCATGCATAGATATTTAGGAAAAGGACCGATCGTGTGAGAGGGATTTACCAATAAAACCAAACAGGAGTCTGATGTTCACAGGAGTCCAATTTTCATATCACACCAGCTCTGAATGCTGGAATCAGCTCTGATGGACCCGGCTCTGAGTGCCGCGGGAATCAGCACTACATGTATGGACCCGGGTGCAGGTACAAAGTACCCAGCTCCAAATGAGTCACTTTATACCGTTGCATAAAAATGAATTAATCCTTCGCTTGGGTTCATTCTGATTGGTGCACATGGTGAAAAATGAATAGTCGTGCAGTTACAAAATAAAACATTAGGGCTTCTAGATGATAATACTGACATTCATGGAACTTGGTAGTTCCGGACCGTCCATGACTAGTTCAGATTGGAACCGGCTATTTTGTGCCACATTACAATGTAGTTGTGCAATGTACATTTAAAGCAGGGTACGTGTGAGTACGTGAATCATTTTATTCTCAGCAGCATGGCGGATGTCGCAGTAAATAAAATCATAGGCAAGGAACAGAGAATAAAGAAATAAATGCTAACCTTGCTTTTAATAACACAATATCTATAGTTTCACAGGCAAAAGACACACATTTGAAACCAAATATGTACTGGCATAACATGTATTCTACGTCAAAATCTGCGGAGCACGGACCTCACAAAGTGACACCGTTATATCTTAACATGTTCACTGAACCAGTATAGTATTTCTTTTACCTTGTCCATGGTTATATTCTCAATGTCCAGATGAGCTATGAGTAGAATCTGTCCTGCTGGGCACTCATACACCCCTGAAGAAAAAAAAACATATAAAAGAAAAACTAGAAACTTGAGATGGAGGCTTCACAATTAACTTTCATTTTTATTAACAATAACACCAACTTTCAATCCTCACAACAAATAACAGCTTTAATCCCCATACACAAATCTTGGGACAGTACTTTTATGTCTGAGAGTACCAAACTATTTAGACACCCATGATTAAATCTGTAGAGATCCATGCAAAAATGTTTTTGTCCTTATTTTGTCTGGGTCTTCCATAAAACTAGGTGCTGGTATTCTATAACATCAACAAATTGAGGGTTGATTATTCTCAAAGCAGATCCCTTGAAATTAAGTGACTTAGCTACAAAAAAAGGCCAACAAAATAAATTGTGTCGGTTGTAAACCACATTAGAAGAAAAGGACATGGCAACAATTTAAATACATGTACACTGCATTTTACTGTGCACTGATGAAAAAAATCTTGTTAGTGCCATTACATAATTAGGTGTAAGTCATATACTACCATTTCAATTATTAAAAATAATCAGTCACAAGTCTCTAGAGGTGATATACATGCACATGTATTTTGGTAACTCACGTTATTAGGTAACTCACATTACACTTTGTCTGCCAATCTTTGGTACAGGTTAAAAAACATATATATACATTTAACTTTAATCCATCTCACTGCCAAATTGCTCAAATGAAAGGTCTTATTGTCCCCTTTAATTTGATACCACATTTGAGGTTAAGGTGCTTGTAGTTTTGAAGACTTCTTAAATTGTCCATTTGCAGCAATGTTCACATTCTAATAGAATTGCCCAGTAATTCTGTTATATCACATAATTCAAAATTGCAACATCGAGTAAACACAGGAAGGTGTGCTGTCCAAAAATATTCCGTTAACAGTTTAAAGGTCAAATTTGGAAGAAAACATAATGCAAAGTCCACACGCCATTGAAAGGCATTGCGTCTGGACACACGTTAGAAACGGTTCCCTAAAAATTGCCCTTTTTGTCCACTATGACAACTTGTTGAGAGCACACTGTAACTTTAACATATTGAACTTACCGCGACTCTTCATTCCAATGAAGCGATTCTCAACAATGTCAATTCGACCGACACCATGCCTTCCCCTATTGTAAAAAAATTCATCAAAATTTTCATTTATAGTAGTGTATTCAAAAGAAAGGTATATCAGTGGTGAAGTTAAGAAAGGTCTCCATTCCACGGCCAAGTCCAAGACACAGGCTTTCACTTCCAAGACCAATATCTGCACAATGCTATGTGTAGGAAAAAAAATATATCCTTTCATTGGGTAAGCCACAGAGTTTACATTTGAATGGAATCAGTGGTGTGTGACATAAGGGTATGGTTAGACAGGCATGTTGTAGTCACTGACCTAATTCATCAGCAAAAAAACATGGATGTCAAATTTGTATTCTCACCAATACATCCTTCTAGCTGTTGACCTTAGAGGACAATCTACTCACTACAATAAACATGTCTCCCTGAAAACTTGATGGAGACATTACCATTCGAATAACTAAAAGCCATGACTACAAAATGCAAAAATATGCCAACCTAACACGAGATTTGCGTGAGATAGGCTTCAACTCCAAACTCATCGCCTTGGAAATAGGAAGTAGAGGCTTTATAGACGAAAACAACAAAACACAAATCCGCTCCCCATTCAATCTGATGACAAAAACCGAAATAAGGCAACTCACCACTCACCTATCAAAAACAGCACTGGTCTCATCCTACGTTATCCTCTACTCAAAATACAGCCCCGTTTGGATTGATTCTCAAGATTAAGGTATTCTTTCATATCGCCCATCCCACTCATCAATATTCCCTTGACCTAGCCAAGCAATCGTTATTCCCTGGTTTATGCTTTTCTTATGCTAAATTGTTAATTATTTAATTTGTCTATTCTGCAGACCATTCTTTTTTGCTTCCATATTAATTTCTAGTTCCTTGCTTCATTGACATTTAGACTGTTTCTTTTGATTCATCTTTCATGTTCATGATGTTGTAGGTTTCCTCCATGTCTTTTGGTTGTTGTTGATTTATGATTAATGAATAAAAGACATGAATTAATAAATAAAGCTGCATTGGAAGATTTTAGAAAAGAAAGCAAGCATAAGCAGCAGATGACATCAGATCAAGTGCAACAGATGAAGTGAGCCTTGGAGGCCAGCTTTTCATTTCAAAGGCAACAAATCTGAGTATAACTTTGACGCAGGCATTGTAGAGAAATCCCCCTCCCACAGAAGTGGGACCAACTTCTTACCAGTAATGTACAAACCAACTCACATCAAATGGCCTTCACCAGTGCTTTTCGTAAATGCTCATCCAGAAGTCTTCGCTAGCAATTTGAACAGTCATCACACTTCATGGGCTTACAGTGCAGATGAGGTTGGTGATCAGCTGATGGCTTGGGCCTCTGACAGTGAGTGCTATCTCTGTATGATGCCAACCAACTCAGGCAGATGAAGGAAGGACTAAAGTCCTGACCTGTGTTTGGTCTCCAAAGATACTGATGGTCATCCACTTCATGCCTCCCGTGTGATTCTTTCCCATTTCCCACATAGCCAGCAACCTGTTTTGATTCATATTGGCATTGAGATCCTTCTGATTGAGTCTTAGCCTCTCCCCCTGTGGAATTTTCAGGAAAGCGTACTGGGAAGGTTATAGGGCTGAAGTAGTGAAGTGGAAGAAAAGATTGCTGACCATGACCCTGTGCCTGGATGTCTGACACAGAGGAACACCCAAAACAACAAGATAAAGCCTGGGGTGACCCGTTAAAATTCTAAAGATATAGAAAGTCATCAATGCTGGAATGAGACTCAATTTCACACAATCCATTAGAAAGGCTTGGGACCGCCTGGAATGTCTAGGAGCTGCTTCATACCCTGTACACCAACCACCCTAAGTCTCAGCAAATGCAGTCGCCTACTGGCTTCTTCACAACTCTGAGGTGACTTCCACAAAAGAAGCCTGGCAAGATGTATTAGGAAAAACAGGGTTTCAAAGTGCCCTCAAGTCCTGTGTTGCACTTAAAACGTTCAAACAGCAGTCACAATGTACCATGTGTACAGCGAAAGGGGGAATTCCCAACACCGACACTGCAGTGTTTCCACTGCAGGGTTTCCACTGCAGGGTTTCCACTGCATAATTGTGCTCGTCTAAAGAGAGCGCTACATAACTTTAATGGGCACAAGTTTCGTGCTCTGTTCATGTAATGCGTTTTTTTTTTCAATTCTCTGAATCTTATTATTTTGTGGTGACTATCGCTCTGTAGTGGGGCCTCGGAGTGTTGCAAGATATATTTTTCGTGAGAAATGTCATAGAAATATTATACACATGACTCTCAAGAGTCGGTACATAATGGGGTTGTTTGACCTGATTTGAAAATTGAAGTGAGCATGCACACAATTTTAGACAAACTACACAAAAACAATTATGCAGAGACTTTGTAAAACCAAGTAAATAATGGTCATACATGAAGCCAAAAAGTGGAGGTCTCGTTTTCCATGCCCAAACCTAATGTCAAAATTTCAGGCGTTACTTTCTTATATTTGTTAACATTACTTCTACATTTTGATCAAAATGTAAAATTTGCCCAGCCGTGGAAATTCGAAATGCTGGGGGGGGGGGGGGGGGGGGGGCCTGGACACATTTCACTAGGGGGTGCTCTTCAGGATACAGATATCAATATATACTTGCGCAAAGGAAAAGAGGTCTTTTCAATCTAACAAGTTTGCGCCCCCCCCCCAAGTCACCTCCCCCCACTGAAAAGTTGGCATCTGGAGAAAAGCACAGCCATATGAGTTCCCATGATTAGTTGGAAAATTATAAAGTCCCATTTTCCCACGATTTTGTTCGAATTTTTTACAAAAACTCTTCTTTTTTTTCGCGAGTGGCTGTTTATTGTAACGTGAAAAGCGAATAGCGGTAGTGATTGTCTAATGTAACCATGATATACGTTTTGAACAGCGCCCCCATGGGAAGATGGTTAGACCTGGGAACGGGAAGGTACAAACCATACATGAAACCAGAAAATGTGCCTTTCTACGTGCATGCCCACTCAAACCATCCACCCGCCGTAATCAAACGGATACCAGAGGGAATCAACAAGCGTCTCTCCAATATCTTGTCACATTGCAGAGAAGTACAAAATCATATGTAGGCCAGATCTAGGTACACTAAATAAGAGAAGCGAAATCGTCTCCAAGTGCAGGCATCGAGACAGGTGTGTTCTTACTTCACTGACGTAAACGCATACTAAGTTCAATTGTGATTCAATGACGTTACGCGCGTAACGTGTACGCGTGCTTGATTCGAAATGAGGGAGATGCTACTTGTATTCTATATTCTATGTCATTCTGCTGATGAGTGCCTTACGGCAAGAAACAGTCTGTCCAGAAGGAAAATATGCCAAATTTTGATTAACTCATATCCTGAATTTATTGCATAATTATAGCTCTATAGAGATGTATCGAGCACTGTAAATTGTGATAGATTACGATTTAACTAGATATATTTAAGAAATATATATGAAAATTCAAGAAAATGTAAAAAAAAAATTAACCGATTATGTCATGGTGTCGGGTCAACTTGCCCCCTCGCCGACTCGCCCCTTACCGACATGCCCCTTACCGACTCGCCCCATGACCGACTCACCCTTTACAAATTCGCCCCCTAGCCGACTCGCCCCCTCGCCAACTCACCTCCTAGCCGACTCGCCCCCTGGATAATTATGCACATTCAGCGGCCATCTTGAAAATGGAGGGGAACACATTGCTTGTGGTCGCGGCGTCAAACGCTATGGAGCCAAATTATTTAAACGACATCTTGAAGGATTTCCGGTACAAATACAAGAAACCAGAGATCCTTTATGACGAATTTGGGGTGGAAACACCTAAGCAAGTCAGAAATATCGGTTGATAGTGTGAGCACATTTGGACCGATATAGCGCTGCGTGATTTTTGCGGAGTGTCCGCCGGGGCCTGTGCTGTGCACCCCGCACAGCAGCCGGTCAACTTCGCGGTCTGTGCACGGTGACGTGCCGCACGCAGCTGGTACCCTTGTAACCGTTCACCATTTTTCAATGACATATTACTTGTAAATTTCGACTCTAGGCCCTCAGTTTTCATCATTTTAGTTTAGTTTCATCCCAAACCATGTGTTGTTATTTTGTATTTTAGGCTGTTTCCAATTTCAATTGGGAACACGTGATCAAATCACGTGACCCCTCCAATTTCAATTGGGAACAGCTTTTGTTTTTTGATTAAGTTTTTTCCTTCCTTTTTTGGCTTTTTCGCAAATTTGCAAAAAAGCCTTTGTTTTTGTGCTGGCTTTTCTTTCTTCTTCTTTTTGTCGCCTAAACCCCATAGACTTTGTACACGTTTTTTCTCATCGCCATTTTTGGCATTAATCTTTGTCGTACATCATTCAAAGTCAGGCAGAGTCCTTATAGCATAGTTGTGTCCCGAAGAGTGACGTCATCATGACGTCATCGTGGGTCACGTGATGTCACGTTAAAGATTAATAGATTAAATCTTTGGAAATCAGTATAAAATCAGCCGTGAGAGACCCGAACTTGACGTTTGCGGGAATCGATAGAAAAAACCAGGATCTTAATTTTATCTCGTGTGAGTAAAATCACGTGACCCTTCCTTCCGGTATAAACCGGAAGTAACTCGAATTGCCTTATAATTTAAAATTGAAAAAAGATGTGATCTTGCTTGCAACGATGTTAGTCTGTGGCTAGATTGTACTTTACGAAAAAAACACCGGTGATGTCATAACATGTTGAAAAACGTGTAAAATGAATTTTTAGTCGAGGTCTGTGACGAAGTTTGCGGTTATCGCTTCAAAATTGGTGTATATGATGACCTCAATGCAGACAACACCTGTGCACGAAAAAAAAATTATGACGTCATCATATCGGAAGTTATAATGAAAAGACTTTTTTCCTTTGAAAATTCCTGAAAATCAACCATGACAGTTTTTATATTAATTTTACTTTAACTGTCGATTTAAGGGTAGGTCTAAAACATTTTGAAGTTTCGAGGCAATAAGTGAACTTGGACATGCCCTGCGCACGCTTAAAACTTCAGGTGGACAA